GTGCTGTAATTGTACCAGTATACATTGAAATTAAACACCAAATTTGACATGGAAAACTGAGTGATCATATATTTCCTATTGTGAATATTTTACATAAATATAGCATGTAGAACATTACAACATGCTTAACTGAACAATCTAAACCACTTGGTTTCCCCAAAAAAAATCTGGAAAATAAGGGACCTATTTCTGCTTTTTCCACTGACAGCAGAGTATTTGTTTCTCAGAAAGACATTCTGAGAGAAGCCAATTCAATTAGTTGTGAAGTGGGTTTGGTCCAGCAGGCACAGCTTTATGTGATAAATCATGAATCGGCTTGACCTTGGTGGCTGCAAGTTCCAAGTAACGAGAAATAGCGAGGAAACGATGTGAAATTGGAAGAGGAGACTTGGTTTTTATTGGTAGTTTCGTTTCTTCATTAACCGCCCAGCTGACATGCCGACAGCAACAGAGATGGACCATTGCCAACATTAAGAAAATCAGAAATGGAAGCCAAGGATTATGAATTCTCATGGTTTAGAATGATAGCAAAAGGAGACAGAAAAAAGTAAAAGAGGAAGACCGAAACAGAGAGAAAAAGCATGGCCTCTCTTTTGGTTAGATTCAAGTCTATTTATAAGGGGAATCAAGTGACTTCTGGTATAGAAGAAAGAGCCAAAACTCAAATCAAATACATTATTAAGAAGTTCATGGACTCCATTTTCTAATCATTACTAGTCCTACCTTATTTTATTGATAACCACCAGGCATTTGTTGGGATATAAAAATATGCTAATTAACATAAACATTATCCTTTAATCTCCATAACTGTGTCATAAAATCCTGAGAAGCTATGGAATTGTTGGTTTAAAATGTGATTCCAATCGCTTTCTGATAAGGCTCCTGACTTCATACGAGTACGATACCAACAACTGGCTTTTGAAACCATGGGAAGGCTAGTCGGCGAATCAGTGAAGTTTTATTACAAAACTCTGCAGAATCGGCTGCCAGTCTCAACAAGCAAATGTCCAGCTCTGAGAGCTGTCCCTCTCGTTGGTGGTCCAATTACAACCGCCCTTGCCTTGAAGACTCTATGCAGAAATCTGAGGGAAGACTTATGCAGAACAATTGAAACATGAAAGTAGTTGAAAGTAAGTTTTTCCAGATTCAATTGAGGCCTCATTTTTGCCAATTGCAATGCAAACACATGACTCTAGGATACTGTAAAACCGGGGTGGAATAAGTTAATCCCAGTTTGTGATTTCTGTTTGGACATTACACCCAGACGTGTCCTAGCTAGAATTTAACCTGTTCATGTCGGCTACTTGACTTTTATTCTGTTTTATTTTTTATTTATAATCTCTCGACGGACACCTAACGTGCTTAGTCATATAAATTAAATTAATTAATCGACTTCACAACTAATTAAAACGGTCAACTGAGTCAACCAGGCTCCAATGTCTACAGCATTATAATATAAGAGTAAACGAATTTTTCCCCACCCAAGGTTTGCCTTAATGACACCTTCCCACTCAAAAAATTTTAATATATTATTTTCTCGCCCAAAGTTTATATTCTATTAATGCCTAAACTACACTTCACTTTTTCAAGATACGTTCATTGAGTTACCAAGAGTCAAGGTAAGAAAGGTTTTATAACCGATTGAATATTCACTACTGAAATCAACCGAAAACCAATTAAAAACAGAGAACCTTAACTTTACGGTGATCGCCAATTGGTAAGAAATCAGGTGTTAAAGTGAGAAGAGTTTTGTAAAAAGGAAACTAAAGGCTCAAATGGTGGTGATTGAGAGAATTTCGCTTTCAGAATAGGCCGAAATCTACTTGGGGTAGTAATGGAATATCAACTTTGGGTGTGAAAGTGGTCTTTTTAAACTTTTTGGGTCGGAAAGATCATAAAGGCAAACCTTGGGTGGGAAAAATTTTACTCTGTAAAATAATCAACTGCGTCATAATTAATAGGTGACAGTGCAGTTTTAATGTTAGGTTCCCAGATTTTTTTCTTTTATAATATGATATTAATTTAAAATTAATTATTCTTTAGATTATAGAATAATTTATTTAACAAATGATAAGATGATCATAAATTAATATCTTTAAACCATACAATTTTCAGTTTATTCATGCCTTTTGACACTAAAAAGTAGAGCCCGCGGTGCCGGCCCACGGCACAGCAAGGCACGGCACAAAAATATGCAAGTCATGCCGAGGGCCTTAAAAAAGACATGTGGGTCAGTACGGCATGACACGGTATGGCACGAAAAAAATAAAAAATAAAATAAAAATCTAAGAATTTAGAAATTAATGAAAAAGAAGATATATAATAATTCTTAATCTTAATTTCTAAGTTTATATTTGTAATTTATAATTATAACTTATAAGTAAAAAAAAAATGTATGAGCTAAATATATTTTGGCTTCAACAATAAGGTGTTCATGTTGGCGGCTTATTACATATCCGTAAGATAATAGATGTGGTAACAACTCTAAAGCATAAATCATTGTCTCAAACAACTTTAGATAAATATTTTATTTCATCTTACACCTTTAATATAACATAACATATATTTTTTGCAATATATATGTATAATTATTATTATGTAGAGGCAAGTTCCTTAAGACGAAACCTAGAAAAATTATAACTTATTACAATGTGAAATTTATTTTTATTTATAATTGGTCCAAGTTAGGACCATAATTTTTTATGATTACATGAAGGTTATTCCTATATAGAATATCACTATAGAAAGGTTCTACTACAATATTTTAATGTCTCATTATTTTATTATATTTCATAGTGATTATATATTTTTAATTAATATAAATACGAAATGTCACTAAATATAATATATTTTTATAATAATTATTAATAATAAATTAAAATTACCATAATTTATTAATATTAAAATTAAATATTTTTATAAAACACGTGGGTTGTCCTATGGCACGACCCATGACAAGGCCCAAAGCATACCATGATATATAGTGGGCCATGCCATGGGCCTTCAAACTTGGTGAGCCGGGCCGGCACGGCAGGATATGAAGTTTTGCGGGTCTTGACACGGCACGGCCTATGACACAATGGGCCTTGAATTTTTAGACACAGCATGACCCACCGTCACCTTTACTAAAAAAGGCTTCACAAATGGGTTTTTACATTAAAAATAATAATAATAAAAAAAAAAGATTGAGTTTGTTGGATGCCAATTTGCATTATTGCTACAACTTTGTAGCTATTATTTCTTGGTATCCTCCCTAAGTAACATCTAACCAGCATTGAGATTTCTATCAAAGTTTTTGGTTCATGTAAAAAGCCTAAAGTGTCCTCTAACCCTAGGAGGTTGGCTTAGTGATTAAGAATGTTTGCTCCATTCATTGACTTACTGGGTTTAAACCATCTTGGGACTACCTACCACATTTGTGGCTTACTTGGAATATTAGGCTTGTAGGGTGTTTAATGTGCCTCAGAAATTATTCGATGTACGCACAAACTAGTGCAAACACCCCGGTTATTAACAAAAATTAAAAGTGTCCTCTAGTTGTCAATTTCTTAAAATGTTATCCTCTAATCGTGTGCTTCTTTTTTTTTTTTTTTTTTTAAAAAAAAAAAAGTGCTTCTAAGTGATACTACCCTTAAAAAGAGTTATATCAATCGAGGTATAATGTAATGAGTAATAACAAAGATCCTTGTAAGGTTTATGAAATAATAAATACCACCCTATCAATAGTGAGATGCCAAAACTCACACTATCATGAATTATTAAATATTTTTATCAAATTATTTGATAGAGAGATTTCTATTATTTCAAATTTTTTAAGAGAATTTTGTATTTAATATAGCCTTGGAAGGTTAATGAAATAGGGGTGTGCAAAACTGGATACCCGATCTGGTTTTGCTTTTTTCTAATCCAATCCGGATATTCGGATGATAAAAACCTCATCCAAATCCGATCCCAATTTTTCAAAATCGGATATCCAGATTTTCGAACCAGATCAACTAGATATCTGAATTGATCCAAAATTAACAAAAACTGCTTATTAAAAATAATTAATTGATAGAAAGATTTCTATTATTTCAAAAAAATTAAAAGAATTTTGTATTTAATATAACCTTAGAAGGTTAAACTAATTAGGGACCCGACCCGACCCGACCAATTGATTAGATCGAGACCCGGGACCTTCACCGGTTTAAGCATCAAAGGTAGAAAATTGGCCCTTAAAATTTCAAACACCTACTCCTTCCACTCATCCCCTCTCACATTTCGGCACTTTCTCCCTCATTTCGACAGATTTCGATGCCTAAAATCACCCCCCCCGAACCCTCCATTGTCATCACTGACATCTCCTCACTAAAAACTCAAACACCCCTAACCTTGATTACTCGTAGATCGTCATTGGCCACCCTTAGTGTTTCGCGATTTGACTTTTCTTTTGGTCGTTCTCGGCACCGAAAATCACCCTCAACCTCTCAACTTGCCTCAGCAGCATCTCCCTACCAAAACCCCCATTATCTCGAAGTCCGATTGGCCGTTTATGGGGTTTTTTTGTTGGAAAGGGATTGATGTGTATTTATTAGGGGTGTGTTTACTAGATTTTAAACCTACTGGATTGACCAAAAACTGTCTATCAAACCAGTTAGACCGGTCAAACCATGACCCAGTCCCCTGGGCGGTTCATTACCATATCATGGTAATGAACCCTAAAAAAAATCAATAATGTTATACTTACAAAGATTTCTATATAAAGTGAGGTGGTAAAAAATGAATGGAAGAGTGAAACAAAAAGTCAAACGTATTAAATTTACTCTTCTATTTATTTTTTATCATATCACTTTATACGGAGATCTTTGTAAAATTTTGTTGTAAATGTAGTATTACTAAAAATATATATATATTTTGGGCGTGGGTAACCCTTTAGCAGCAAAGCGCAACAGAGAAAAGCCCAAAGATTGTAACGTAAATGTAAATGTAAATTCATGTTGACTCACAAGTCGTAACGCTTCTAATAATGTAAGATGATGATGGTGTCAGCAGATATAAGAGGTTTTGTCAGAGGAGTAGCAATTAGTTTACCTGCAAACCTCGAACTGAAATCGGTTTTCTTTTTGTTTTCGTTACAAAAGCAAGCCTCTTTCTGTAATTTCGCCGCTCTCTTCTCTTCTTCTCCTTCGTTTCGAATCTCATTCTCTCTCTCTCTCTCCTTTCTCTTCTTTCCTTTCCGACTAAAATCCATACACAATTCCCCCTACTTCAACGAAGTCATCAGGCAATTCTCTCTTCCCAATTTCTTCCCGCTACTAATTTTTGATTAGGTGAGTGTGTAGATGTACCTTTTTTTTTATTTACTGTAAAATCCTAACCTTGATCTACGTGTTCTGCTTTATTTTACATCTCGCATTTATAAATCTTGTATTTTTTTAAAGGTTAAAGCTTAATTTTTGGGCTGTGATTACAATTTTTTGGTGAAGTTTGATGCTCACGCTGTCATGAATTTTTTTCTTTCTATTTAATTAGCTTCTTTTAGTTATTTTCTATTTAATTAGTTTCTTTTGCGCTTAGTTATTATTATTATTATTATTTTCTTTTAATTTGTATTGAGAGAGTTGGTGAGCTTGCTGGTGGCTTACCCTTTTTTCAGTTTATCATCTCCATTATTTTTCTTTACATGTTCGTGTGTTTTGTTGAGATTTCAATACTTGGTAGCTATAATCTTAAAATTGACAGTTTCGCTCTTGTTGTTGAAAATAGACAGTTACTCTTCACAAATCAGAACCAATATTTAATAAAGAAAGAGAAGAAGAATTTAACTACGATCTGTATGATCCCTGTGTAAGGTCATTTCGTTAGCTGGTTGGTTACGTCGTATATGTGTTAAAAGAATTTAGCTTTAGTAGATTGATGGTGTAGTATGAGTTCTACATCAGTTTGTGTTAGGTCTTGGTGATTGAGGACTAGAAGTGGGGTTAAGAGGACGATTCTCTTTCTGGAATGCCCCTTCATGCGAGGTTTGAAGTTGAACCAAAGCAGGAGAAGGTGATTTAGTTTGGTATCTGTATCTTATAATGCATGGTGAGGATTATAACTGTTGGAAGTGGAGATATTTTACTATGACATTTCCTTTTTATAGTTTTCGATAAGTTTGCTTGGTATTCATGGTTGAGGTGAAATTGAAGAGGCTGTTACTCATAAGTGGATTATAATTTTGACATGGTTTTATGTAGTGATACTGTGAAATAATAATTATCTGTTAATGATTGTGAAAGAAGCTAAATTTTTCTGCGAGGACATAGAAATTTTATAAAAGATCTTTTAAACAGTGTTCATAACAAATATGAGTGTTGAAATGACAAGAAGGCAGAGCATCTATTTAGTGATATAATAAGGAAGCTGTGAACAAACTGTTTTATATATGTCCAGAAAAGATTTGTAAATTGTAATGGCTCTATTTTGATTAGTTGCACTAGAAGATACTCAGCAAGAAGGTCTAAAGTGATTCAGAATCATTTGATTCTGCTAGTCCAACTTCTTCTTGTGAAGCAGTATAGGATGATTATGTTTCTTTATTTGCTATCCAGAGTAGTTTAGTTTTTCAAATAATAACTGAAGCACTGCTATAGCAGTCAAGATTTTATTTTATTTTTTAAATTTCAAGAACTTTGTACATGCACTGTTGAAATATGGAATGCTTGTGCTGTGTTCATGGCTAGAAGTCTTAGTGGGAATTCACATCTCCTGAGGAACCCAAAAAGTTGTTGTAAAAACTGCAATTGAGAGTATAAATGTGAATTTTTAGAAGCTTGTTTCAGGATGGTAAGAGTTTGAGGATAGCTATGTGTTGCACAAATCTCATATTATTTATAGTTCTTTTTGGTTACAAATATTTCCGCTACTAGATTGGTTGAAATTTGATATAGTGAAAACATTTCTGGGATGTAATGATAAGTAAGGTGCCATTTTTCAAAAATCAAATATTTCAATCCAGCTAGTAGCATTATATATAAATTCATGGCATAGAGTTGTATATTTTTTCTGGTTTGATTAGTTTGATGAAGTATATAACACGGTGTGTGGCTTGTCTCACGGATCATTATTTTGACAGCTCTATGGCTCAGCAACCTGTTTAGTTTCCATCTAGTTATCAATAATTCTGTGTTAATTATATTGCCCTTTCTCCTCCTCAATCTTTGTCTTCCTTTTCTACGATTATGCTACCCCACTTTAAATTCCTTGTATCATGCATCGATCAAATTGATGACTAGAAAGTTGATTAGTTTTTTTTTTTTTTTTTTTTTTTTTTAAATTGTCACATTATGAATGTTACCTTTTTCTTTTTAAGAGTTATCAAAGGACTCTCAATGGTACTTAAGGATTGCCTGCTTCTTAAGAAGTTCTTCAATTATTTATAGAACTTAGTTGTTTCTTTGATTGTGTCTTATTATCGATGATATGAATTATACATTGTGATGGCAAATAGGTGGATTTTAAGCATTCTACAAGGATTATGTGGACATCTTATGCAGGCATGCTATTGCTTTGAAACTTCTATGAGATAATTGGGCAACTGGTCAAATGGAAGAGGGTGCCTATGCTGTAAGGAGATGGGAGGACCTGGACACTGATATATTGGTGAAAATCTTCCTGTCTTTTGATGTCTTCCAGTTGACTTCAGGCATTGCTCATGTTTGCAGTTCATGGCGTTTGGCTTGTTGTGATCCTCTGCTTTGGAAAACTCTTGATTTGTCAATGTTGAGATCAAATTTCATCAAAATCCCATTAGAGCCATATGTTTATGTGGACGGGCGTTCTGATAAGACATTGACGCGTTTGTTGAGGATTTCCTTGAGTCTCAGTCGGGGATACATAAGAACCTTGATTTTTCACTTCAATTTGTATGTAAGCGACGAACAATTGACTTATACTGCTGAAAGGTAATTTTTTTATGTTTCTGTTTAAAACCTTGTTCTAGCAGTATGGGTGTCTTCTTTTTGCTAACTATCTTTTTGACTTGGTTTAAGATGGTTGGTAAATGTGGAATTGAATTATAATATGTATATTATCAAGGGATGAGAGGAAGAAAGGGATGCTGATGCCTTTGCAGCCTGTTTAGCTACCCATTTGTTAAAATATAGTTTACATGCGGAGAAATGCTAGCTGTTCTGTTTTACTAAGTTGCACTTTAATTCTATATGTGGGATGTGGTAATTTGTCACTTCTATTAGCCTGCATCAAAGATGAAAATATTTTCTACATTATGTTGTTTGCTTGATTTGAACTACATCTGTGTTTTATTTCCTAAATGTAAAGAGATGCAACATCATCAATCATTCATTTTGACTTGATTATACTAAAATTATTTCAATCAATTTACATTTAAAACCAACACAAAATAGTTTTAACCTTTGGTTGCTTAGAGATTTGTTATCTAAAATGATCATGATAAAAGAATTGCTTGCATTCTCGAAGGTCTTTCTTTTTCTTTTTTCTCCCACTGTTCATTGGCTGAGTATTTGGCATTGTTTTTGATACCAGTGATTATCATCTTTAATTTTCCTTTTCGCACAAGGAATGGGGAAGTAACCCACTATATATCGTTGTCTGCAGGTGCCCCCAGCTCAGGCGACTTGTTATGCCAGCTTGGAACAGAATAAAGAAGGTTGGAATGTGCAAGGCTATTCGTACGTGGAGATGTCTTGAATCCTTGACAATGCCTAGCATAGCAAATCCCCTTTATCTTATGGAGGAAATAGCCCTAAATTGCAAGAACTTCTGTGAACTCAAGATCATGGGTCCTTTTGACGTTCCCTTTGCTTCTGCGATAGCCAAATTTCTTCCAAACTTGAAGGTTTTGAGCCTGAGATGCTCAATGATAGTTAAGGATGCCTTGATACTTATATTGGATGACCTACCAAACCTGGAAGTCCTCAACATATCACATTGCCTTCTTATAGAAGGTTCAATGGTTCCTCCACTGACGCCCAAAAAAATAATTAAGAAGCTAGATAATATTATCTTGCAGAAGGCCGCTCGATTACGTGAATTCTTAACATGCATTGAGGACTCGTGCATCATGTGTCAGCGTACCCGAAGTGATGAAGGGCTTCTAAGGTGGTACAAGTACGAGGAAGGCCTATGGAAAATGGATGAGGCAAGGTCTCTTGCCCTTTGATTAGAACACTGCAGAGGCTGTAATTTAGTGGTCAGAAACTATAGCCTATGTACCTCTTCTTTAGGTATTGTTTTGCATGTATGAAATATCTACATACTATGTTGTTGAATAAGCACATATAAAATCGGTTCATTGTGTTTTAGGTTGTCATCCTCCTAATGCTTGCGTTTTAGGTCGTCAACCTCGTAACGCTTGCCTGATGATCTTTTCCTATGGGAAAAGTATCATTTGTCTGTATTATTATGTACATATGGTAAAATGTCAGTTTCTGTTGCTTCAAGTCGATCTTTTGTTTTCAATTAATGTTATTTCAAAATGAGTTGAGTTCATTGATACTGTTGTAGATTAGTGCAGTCATAAACTTTCAACTGTAGAAGATTTCAAGTTAGTTTGATCTCATGAAAATATTGTCTTTAATTCTAATTGTTACACGTCTATCTCTTTGTATGATGATTAGAAGATTACATATGATAGAGATAACTTCACTTCTGAATGCAGGTGCACGAATCATTAGTTAAGGATGGTATTTTTACAATACCATCCATATGATATTTTTACCAAACATCGATTAAAGCCATTAAAAAGTTTATGCATACATTTGTTGAATTGCTGTTACATTAGATAAGAATGTATAGTTAATGAATAAAGCTTCTATTGTGGTGGGGCTGCAGTGTTAAATATCATTGAATGATCCTTCTGTAAAATATACAGCTAAATTGAATCTATTGTTGTGCTGTTTATAGCCCATAAGTAGGGACAATGCAACAACAATTGGATTCTTGATTTTTAAACTACAATGTTAGAGCCCATTTGGGTTATAAAAAGTTATTATTTTGTTCTTTTCAAATTTATTGGGCTTGATTTGTGCCTCACCCACTTTGGTAAGAGAGTCAAAAGATGTTGCGAAGAGACAATTTATAAGACAACATAGGTATACTATTTTTTTTTTTTTTTTGATAGAATGTCCGGATCAGTTTGCACATATCTCAATTAATCTTTGAGGTTTATTGAATATCCTATAAACCTAATATTTCAAAGTAAACCAGTAAATTACAAATGTAATAAGTAACCTCAAGGTGATTCGAATTGAAGAAATCAATAAAGAAAATAAATCATCTTTAACTGTTAAGTCAATCCCTTGAATTATCGTAGGTATAACATAGATTTTCAATTTTAGTAATTATCAATCGTTAATTCAACAAGAAACAGAGGAATTCAGCTAAGTTATGACAGGTTCAATTTTAATTGGCACATGAAAATTATCTTCATTTTTTTATTTCTCAACTCCTTGCATCATCTTGATAGTATCATCCACCTCCTACCTAATTCAACAAGCTGAAATGACCTAATTAACCCTTTCTCTATCACATAAATTACTTCACATTTAAGATGGTCCACCAACCGGCAACCAGGGACAGTCTTGTAATTCCAAACTCATAAATGAGAAGACAATTAAAAAAAAAATATATTAAATGTCTCTTTAGAAATGGTGTGATACATGAAGAATCATAAAAATGTAGTTGAAAAAATATTGTATATAATATACTATGTACTATATATTATATATTATATATTATATTTATAAATGTAAAAAATTAAAAATATTAATTAAATTATTTAATTCGGCTATTAATAAATAAAGGCCGAACTTGAAATAGAATCCTATATTAAACTGGAGACACAGGACAGTAGCTAAAACATCTCCCTCCTTCACGGCCTCTCTCCGCTTTCTCTCTCCTCAACTGAAGAAGAAGACAATCAATTATGGCGCTTCAGCTATGGGAGACTCTGAAGGAGGCAATCACAGTCTACACTGGGCTGTCTCCGGCCACTTTTTTTACGATTCTTGCTTTACTATGGGCTGTATACTATGTGTTATCGAGTCTTTTCGGCCCGTCTAATACTCATTACCAACCGCGATCCAGAGAATTTGAGGAGCAGATGCAGCCTCTGCCGCCTCCTGTTCAGCTTGGAGAAATCACCGACGAGGAGCTCAAACTATACGATGGCTCCGATCCCAAGAAGCCTCTTCTCATGGCTATCAAGGGCCAGATCTACGATGTTTCCCAAAGCAGGTTTGGTTTTTTTTTTTTTTTTTTAATCGATTGATTTGCGTTCTCTTTGGCTTTTGCTCCTCTTTTTCTTTTTATCCTCTTCTGGGTCAACGGTTGTTTGGATTTTATTTCATAAAGTTTTTTTTTTTTTTTTGGCTTTTGACGAATAAAGTGACTTAATAATTTTGGACGATCTAGCTCATACAATTGGTTGATATGCTACAAAAAAAATTCTTTTGGAGAATTTATTGGTGTCTGCTTGTATGATTCATCAACTCTTTGAACTTGCACTTCTACTGGGTTTGTTCAAATTCTGTGAGATAAAGTATTTGATTAAAAACTGCAATTCTTTAAGATTTTATTTGAAATTCAATCTAGGCCCAGTTTGGAATGGTAATTATTTATGACTGCTATTTGAAACTAATGAGCTTAAAAGGAAAAATTGAATCTGGGTTGAAGCTTCTGATTGTTGATGAATTGATAACTTTTTTGCAGAATGTTTTATGGACCTGGAGGGCCATATGCATTATTTATGACTGCTATTTGAAAATAATGAGCTTAAAAGGAAAAATTGAATCTAGGTTGAAGCTTCTGATTGTTGATGAATTGATAACTTTTTTGCAGAATGTTTTATGGACCTGGCGGGCCATATGCATTATTTGCCGGGAAAGATGCAAGCAGAGCTCTTGCAAAGATGTCTTTTGAGGATAAAGACTTAACTGGTGATATTTCTGGTCTTGGTCCATTTGAATTGGAGGCTTTGCAAGATTGGGAATACAAGTTCATGAGCAAGTATGTTAAGGTCGGAACTATCAAGAGCACAGTTCCGGTTTCAGATGAGACCTCCACCGCCGGTGAATCTGCAGAAACTAAACAAGGTGATGCTGCTAAGCCTGTCGAAGGTGATGCTGCTAAGCCTGTCCAAGATGGTCCATCAGAAATTGCTGCTGTTAAAGCCGAGGAACCCCCACCTGTTAGTGATGCTCTGGAGGAGTAATGCTTGGTTCAACAACTCAAAAAGGATACAATTTCTTATGAAAATGCTGAAAAAGAGTAACTATTTCTGGCTGTATGTTTGTTTTTAAGTTTTGTTCACATATAAGTTTACTTTACTTTGCTAGTCTAGGAAACTTCTGCTGCGGACTTGCTTTAATGTTTAGATTATCAAGAAAATAAGTTGGGCATATCTTACTTTCAGTATTCAGACTGGGATTGGTGTAGTTTATGTGTTTGAGGTACTCGGCGGCCAGCTAGTACTCTTATGTGATAAATCAGGAGTTTGTCTTATGGAAATGTATGGTATCATTTTCTTTCCTTTTTTTTCTCTTCTTTTTGGAGTAAATTATGCAATCATTAAACGGAGGGTCAGTTTTTCTCTACCCCTTTCATGCATCACTTACTAGCCATTGATTTCGGAAACCATTGCTTCTGGGGTAAACAGGTCTTCATTGCAAATCTGCTGCAATTCTTAATCAATAACAGTTTTATGAAACTAAGGGTAGATTCATGGTCTTCATCCTTTCAAAGAAACAAGGTAGAGATGAGAATATAGTTGTAAAGATTTGTGAAAAGGACAGGTTGGATTGGATTGGTTTATCACGTTATACATGTCAAATATTGTTTACCTTAAAATCCATAAATTAAATGTGATAGTATTTGTACAGACACCTATGATGCGGTGTATCTATTCTATTTAAATTTATTTCGATATAAGAAAATCTGAAGTAATTCATTCTTAAATTTTATTAAAAAGATTCTTAAGATCCATCTGTAGTATCAAAAAATTGAATATGGGAAGAGCGCTTGTTAAAATTAAAATCTAAACTGTGATTATGAATTTATGATTTGACGAATCCACTGAAAAGACACTCATTCGGTAGCTCAGCTACTGCCCAACTCTGTTTTAAAACCCAGACCAGCCAGATCGGGACCTGGCAGCCTCTCCGGTCCAGTTCAGTTTCAGGGGGGTTTCTGTAATTTATAAGGACTAATGTAATTTTAAGGGATGTTTTTAATACTTCATAACTTTAGGGACTAATTGTAATTTTTCGGCATTTAAAATAAATTAAAATTTCTAATTTGCAATTTTTAGGGGTATTTATAATGCACTAAAATTTAAGGGACTAAATTAAATTTTTTAAAAATACTTGTATTGTTGACGTCACCTGTCGGTCGAGTTTTAAAACAATGTTGCCCAATGCACAACCAAATCAATTTAGAAAATGAGAAAATGAGATAATCAATTTTGGTAATTACATAATTACCCATGTTAATTACTCATGTTTTAGTAAGGTTATGCTTGCGCACGCGCACGCACACACACACACACACACACACACACGCACACACACACACACACATATATATATATATATATATATAGAAAAATGTTACCAACACCGGTGCTTTACACCGAATTTTTATACCGAACGACATGTCCATTGGATCAGACGAGTCACGTATCACGTTAACAAATATTCTGCGAATGAACGATTGTTCATCAAATATGGACTACCGTCCATTGTTATTGGACGATCGTTCATTTGAAATAGACTCTCATCCATATTATATGGATGGTCATCCACCTAAAATGGAAGCCCGTTCATAGTTTAAACTAGAAAAATTTGGCCTAAATTATTTATGGACGCCCGTCCATCTTTTAATATTAACAAATTTTAAATTTATTTAATACATTAATTGTGAATCCTAATTGACTTAGTGTCTTATTCTTATGATATTTGTCCAATTATTTTGAATGTAGACAAAATTTTAATGCCTTATTCTTATGACACTTGTCCAATTACTTTGAATATAGACAAAAATTTAATGAGGATAGCGACATTTACAAACTCAAGTGCTGTAAAATTTTTTAAATCAAATAATGGAGGGACGCCTGTCTATTGAATATGGACGGACGTCCATAACTTTTGTTTTAAATTTTTTTTATTTTAAACAATAGACGGGCATCCATTCTAGGTGAACGCCTGTTTATAGTAAATAGACTCTTGTCCATATTATATGAATGAGAGTCTATTGTTATTTTCTCATGGATAGGCGTCCATTATAGGTGAACGACCATCCAATAATCACGGACGCCCATTATTTTGCTTTTAAAATTTTTTGAACGGGCGTAGATGGACGCCCGTCCATATTAAATAGACACCCATCCATATAAGATGGACGGGCATCCATTATTTTTTAAAAAAAAAAATTTGGATGTGCGTCCATCTTATATGGACGTCCGTCCATATAATATGAACGAGAGTCCATTAAATATGGGCAAGCATCCATAATGTTGGACGACCGTTCATTTATGAAAGACTCCAGCGTGGTCGTGTCTGACTGGTTGTCATGTTCTTCGGTACAAAAATTCGGTGTAAAATTTCAATGTCCGTAGCATTACTCTCTCTCTCTCTCTCTCTCTCTCTCTCTCTCTCTATATATATATATATATATATATATATATATATAAATATATATATATTATGACTAGGTGTATCCAGGTCAGCTTACACGCACCTCAACTAATTTTTCGAGACCTTGAAACTATCGGTCAAGTAAGAGCTCCAATAATTACTTCTATTAGCAATTGAGTAGAGATTCAAACTTAAGACCTCTTGAGTAATACACCCAAGAAATCTTATCGAACCATTCGATCACCCAAGGGTTGGTTAGGAGAAATAGTTTTTTGATCTTCTGTTATGTCATTTACTTCAAATTATAATCTTGGGGCTCCATAATGTTCCCCTAAAAATAATAGGAAATTATATAAAAAAAATTCTAAATTTTTTAAGGCAAAATACTTTTTCAAGTTACAAAAAGATAGAACTAAGATTATGCGTTTGTTTTATAAAATAAAAGTAAAATAATTATGTGAAAAAGAAAAAGTTAATATACTATAAAAAAAAAAAAAATTATCTGCCGTACCATATGTTTCAACATTTAACCAACTTTTTTTTTCTTTCAAAAACTATGCAATTTATTCTTGTTATTTTTAAATTACTTTACCATAAATCAATCTAATTAACGAATATTAATATCTTCCGATATAATAAAATTAAGTATAATAATATGTTTTTAATGACATTATAACAAAACATGTGGCAAATGAAATGACTCAACCAACATGATAATGGCATCTTAATTAGAGTAAACGACTTTTTCCCACCCAAGGTTTCCCCTAATGATACTTTCCCACCCAACAAGTTTCCAAACGACATTTTACTATCCAACGTTATGTTCCGATAGTAATTTTTATTAAATACAATATATATTCATCGTAAAGATGAAAATACCCTTTACATTTAAACTTAAATTTATTATTATTATTATTATTATTATTATATGTCATATCAACAGAGTCAATTACTTATATACCTACTTTTTAATTATAAAATTACTGATATACCCTAATTATGTCTAAAAGGATAATTTACTATATTTTAATATTTCCATTTCTGCAAAGACATCTCTCTCACCCACTGCGTAACTGACGCCACCACACCCTCTTGTTCATGGCAAGCCAACACAGTGCCACCACCTAGCCAATCGCTACCACCCACCAAACTTCATACTCGGAAATCGCCACACCAAAACCCCTCTATCCCCCACCCCGCAAATCTCGTAAATTGCCAGCCACCGCAACTTTTTTCTTTGCACGATTGCTGCTCCCTACCAGGATTTCGGCCAATTTTAGGCACCAACACCCTACTTGACACTATTGTCGACTTCATTTTCCCACCCTCATCAAAACCCCATCATCCTTTGGCCGCACTAGCTTGTCGTCCGCCGGCTGTCACAACTATTCTTGCACGACTGCTACGCACTTGGAAGCCTCGCCACCGCCAATTTTCACCTAAAATCATACACAAATAACACCTTCTACTAATTGCTTATTGTATTTGGTTGATTGTTGTGTGTAATTAAGTCACCAGCGACCCTTCTGTCATCATATTTTTGCACTCCCAAGCCAGACCCACATTCAACACCAAATATGTTTTTCTTGGAAAAAGAAAATAGATTCTCTATTTTTATATTATGAACAATGGATCCTGGTTTGACACCAAGAAGTGAAATGGTTTTAGAATTTCTAGAAATAAAACAGAGTTTTCAGAAAATTCACACAATTAGAATTCGATATTGTGGTGGACTCGATATAGGGTGTTTCAGTGAAAAAAAGAGAGTAAGAATCGGGTAATTGCAGGATCCAAATCGGCCGAGTGAAGGAGGAGGGGGAGATGAAGAAGATGAAGATGGGAGGAGGAGGGATAGATGAAGAAGAAGAAGATTGGAAGGCAACAATTTGGTAATAGCAGAGGAAGGGGAGATGAAGAAGAATAAGATGGGAGGGCAGTATGTAATAGCGAAGGAGGGGAGATGAAGAAGAAGAAGAAGAAAGAAGAGTTTTTTTGTCTTTATACTATTTATGTCATACACTTACCTACGCTTCCAATTTTAAATTTTGATTTTTGATACATAATGTTAATTGACCATTCTGCCTTTACTTACCATGGACTTTTGACCATCCTGTCATTTTTCACGATGAAATTTACTAATGAATCTATATTGTGGGTAATAAAGTGTCATTTTGAAACTTTTGGGGAGTGAAAGCTAGGTTGGCCAAATCTTTTAATTAATATAAAGGGAGAACGACTTACACATACCCAAGATTTATCGTAACGACAAGTTGGTACCCAAAAGGTTTTGAAATGACAAATAGGTACTTTCCGTCATGTTCTGTTAGTGATTTCTNCAGAAAAATCAAGACATGCCATTGTTTTACAGGACACATATTCTTTCACAGGCTTTCTTAATGGCTTAACAAGGGCTCTAAAGGTTATGAAGAACAGAGAAGTGACAAGTTTAGAAAAAGTAATGCTGGGATTTAAAAAAGAAGATGATGTCGAGGATTCAACACTTACGAGAGCAGTAAATATGGATAAACATGAAGATGAAGGAGTGGATGAGTCCATAATTATAAAACTTCAACCTCTCCAAAACTTTCTTTTAACTTTCAAAATTTTAAATTGCCTTTATAATAAACTTTACTATTTTCTAATAAGCCTACGAACTAAAATTCGTATATATTGCATTCTTTAATTTAATGATTAAGGTTAATCAAATAATCAAAGTCTATGGTATGCTTTCGATCTTAAGATTTAGATTACTGTTTCCTTCATCCTAAAGATTATAAAATTCGACAAAGACTCTAGTTTCAAACTCGAGTTTGTAGGATTATTTTAAAACCCGAACCGAAAGGCAACCCGTTTAACTGTTCGAGTCACAGGCTAACCGATCCAACCAGTTGGACCAACCGATTGAACCGATGACATCAACGACAATTTTATTTTTATAAAATTACATATTAATCTCTCAAATTTTAATATATTACAAAAATTCCCCTAAAAAGTTTCAATTATCCCTTAAATTTTTATTTATTTCAAAAATACCCCTATAAAATTACATTAACCCTTATAATTTTATAATATTACAAAAACCCCCTAAAACCTAAACCGGACTAGAGAAACTGCCGGGTCCCAATTGGACCGATCGAACCGACCGGTCCAGTCCGGTTTTTAAAACAGAGGTTTGTGGGACAAATTGAATAGCACTCATTACTTTGTTATAAAAAATTTCAGTATTAAATATAGATGAATCCATATGGTTTGTGAAGCATCTCCATTTTCAAATAGTAACTAGGAGTTACACGTCCCAAAAAATTTTCCCTTTTGGTCATCTATGAACATCATAAAATACACCCCAAGAAAAAATAAAAAGCCTATAAAGAAAAGTGAAATGGAACAAAATAACTTGGATTTCTGTCTAATTCGTACGAAGTTACCGTCTCTACGCTGGGGAGGATTCATTTCTAGTCAAGGAATTTTCTCAATTTTTGAACTTAATAAGCTCAAATACATATTCACAAAACTTCCAAGTAAATGGAGTTCTACATATGGTAAGTTCAACAATGGATATGTTCCGCTGTTTCAAAAATAACAAAATTCTAACTCACAAAATCGGAAGCAAAGAATCTTGATAATGCCTTGAAATTTATCTGTAAAAGAATCAGATTTCTCTTCCACTGGAAAGACTTCTCTTGCAATCCAGAACTCGATTAGGCCATGAAAAGCTTAGTATATTTATCTGTTCACGAAATCAGAGTTAGTACAGAAAAAGAGAGGTTTGAACTCATTAGTGCAACAGAGGCTCTGCCAAAACTTGGGAGTCAAACCTGAATTCATGTTTGACGATAATCACTTTAGGAATCCAAGACGAAAAGCAGAATGTATGGTTACACATGAGAAGGCCCATTTTGCATTTCATTTGAACTTTTGGACTTGTGCTTCGATTTCTTTTCCCGTTTCTTACCCCTGCCAAGTAATCAAAGAAGTGCATGGATTTAGGACAAATCAGTGTTCTGTAATAGCAATGTTAATATCTGTACAGAACATGAATTGTAGGCAGTACTCTTCATGTTAGCCATGGCCCCAACAAGATTTTAGTTTCCGGTTGATGTGCTTCATATCCTTTTCTGAAGGGAACTTATATTTCATTACCTGCATTCATAGCCAACAAAAAGAAAACTACATTGGCAAATGCAACTTAATAGAAAGAATCTAGCATTCATATGATTTCAATTAATATAGCCATTGAAAATATGATCTCCTAGAGCCTCCATATTGCCACTACAAAGTAATATTGAAAGAAACTTAAGTCAAATAATACTAAGATGGTGAGTTGCTATGATATACCCAAGAATCTATGGCATTTAGATATTCAACGAGCTCTGGATAGGTGTGTGTAGAATTCTGTCGAGAGAGAACACTTTCTATATATCTACAAACAAGAGTAAATGGATGGTCAATGAGAAGTATTAGGGCCCGATAGGATGTACCTGACAGGTGTGTAAATGATATGCAACCAAAAGAGAAAAGTAAAATTGGATATATTCATAATCGTAATCTTAAGAAACTTCTTGAAGCAGTTCAAAACCTCTCAAAGTCGAGAACTCCATGAACATTGTTCGCACGGCGCAAAGCAGCCAATGCCAACTGCAAGTTCAGTAGATGATCTATGTTAAACCTATAAAGAATAGACAAATACTCAGATGAAAAAATAAACCAACAAATTGAAAATTAACACCCTTAATTTGTTATAGTAGAAGTTGATGATAAACACGTGATGCATAAATGAATCCAAAAATCAATTAGTAAATTATTACAACTTGAATAGGAAAGGTTCAAAACTCTATGTTGAAGGTTCAGTTTAGACAATCCACTTTAAAGAATTAGAGACAAAGATTTAAAGTTAAGAAGTTGATTGGGTCATTAAGACATTCTGATGCAATAATAACGTGGAATGACATAAAATACCTGCCCAGGGGGGTACAAAAGCGGTGCATCAGTAAGCATGATTCTGTCAACTTCCAACTTTGCAGATTCATGCAAGTCCTACAAAATATGAACCCATCATATCGATAGTTAGAATATGGGCAGGAAGAAGGAAAAGTCTATTGAAACACATGAAGATAATTAATGGCCAACAAAGAGGAGCATCATGTATACCCAGTATAATTACACATATTCCTAGAACAAATATAATTGATTGCTGTTTGCTTTATACTGTTATATTTAGGAAAACAAGGTGACAATTATTTAATCATCCTATGTTTACATCCCTGATTCAAAGAAATCAATGTCTCTCCAATGAATTTACAGGGAAATTACACTTGTAATTCTTATAATCTTAGTGTGAGAAATATGAAAATGCATCCAACAAATCAATTCAACTAACAAAATTAAACTATAAAGTAATGCTGCAATGTCACTCAGCACTTCCACAACAATAGGGCCAACATCAATACCCACTCAAAGGTGGGGGCTACCCCTTCAAAATTAGCAAAAGCCAATTTTAAAATCTAAACAGCTTAATTTACAACATCACATGCATTAGTTGTTATTTTCATCCTAATCATATTTTAGCAACATGACCAGTAGTAGTTGAACTAACATCATGTCTTCCAGAAAACACTTTCAAAAATCAATGCAAGTATAAACTTGAACAATCATCTTCAGAAGAAGTAGTAGGTCAACCACTGACAATACTGAACATGCTATTGAGAAATAAAACTACAAAAGATGGTACCACAGTTTACCTTCGGCGTATGGCCATTTGTTTCCGGACAGAATTCCTAGAGACAAAAGTTTATTGTCAACAATCGCAAACAAAGAAGACAAAGAAAGATAACAATATATAAGACCCCTCCCCCACCCCAACCAATAAAAAAAACAATGACAGTTAATAAGGATTTTCTCGTACATTTATGAAAGAGAAGCATCTATATAAGAAGCGAATTAACCAATCTGACCTCCATATCATTGACAAAACCTTCAAGTGGCCGGTATGGAGCATAAACAATAAGATCAAATTCCAAACCCTGCATGACATGATACAGTCTTAAACCAACAAAAGAAAAGGTCACATGGCTATAACAATACATAAGAGCTCATATCATACCTGATAAACAATCATTTCATAGTTGAGAATCATTTGATGATCCTGTGAGATGCCCTTCCCAAGCTCCTCTGCTGATACATGATTTTCTTCTATCTTACAAGCAGCATATACACATGTTAACCTGTGCACATAAAAGGAAACAATAGTAAGGGTGAGAATTTCACTAGGAATGAAAAAAAAAAAAAAAAAAAAAAAAAAAAAAAAAAAAAAAAAAAAAAAAAAAAAAAAAAAAAAAAAAAAAAAAAAGCAAACTAGCAGAGAGACTAACTGTTAAACAGAAAAAAAATATTGTTCCAAGCAATCCTGGTAAGGCACCAATTTCTATGAACGACCATGCAGAAATTCTTATACAAGATCGTAAGAGCATTGGGCAATATTACGAAATAAACTTAAAACAGATCTAAATAAACAGTACATTATATTTTTTGGGTGATGCTCCATGACCGACCAATGCAGGTAGAATCTTTTGAAGTATAAGAGAGCTGTTGCCTGCAAATGTGAACCAATCCTCAAATGTTGCTAATAGAACTACTACAGTATATTTCATCTTTTTAAATCTCTTTTAAGACTAAATTATTAGATACAGAAAAACATACCTGAATTTTATTAGGGAAGTAAAATGCACTGCATACTTCTCGAAGTTTATTTTCATAAAATACACGCATAGACTGTTCTTCTTCGATATTGAGGGGTTTTGAACGAGAATGCTTTTCAGCTGACATAAAAACAATAAGATGGTCACACATAAAACTTTTGACTAATAAAGAACACATAAATAAATGGTAGAAATCAACAAAGCATTTACCATTATCTTTTTGAGGTTCAGGGAACGAAAATGACCCATCAATATCTACTTCCATTTGCGTTGTTCCATACTTTAAAATACAATATAATGTTAGCAACAGAAGAATAATTGATTGTAACATGATTCCAAATATAATAGAGAAAAAGCTATAATCATAGCAACATGACAGATTGAAGTGCTCAGCCCTAAAATAAAATGTTTCACCAAACAATTTATGTCCTATATAGAAGGAATCACAATGCCTAAAGGTTGTCATTCCATATCTTGAATTAACTTCATGGTTAAAGATAATTTTCAAAGAAATTTCCAAAACTGATAATCATTCACCACTGCCCCAACTTCCATTAATCAAACGAACAAAAATTTCTCACCACTCTACCTCTGACAGACAACAAAATTTCATACTTCTCATCCCATACAAAGATCAGGATCATAATAATGCATTGGAATTATACTACAACACTGACCAGTAACTTTATCGTGCAGATATCTGGTTACAGGCAACATATTTTCAGTTCCATGTAACAGTATTTTAGAATCATAGTATATAAACTAAATTACAAACCTAACTAAAACATTTTCTATTTACCTGTAACCAAAACATTGGCACGATAACATTACTGGCCCATAGCAAGCCCCTAAACAACACCAAAAAAAAAAAAAAATTTGCATACACACACAGTCATTAAACTAGGCTACATCCATTACCTTCTCCAAAGTTTGTATTGCTCTCTGATTAGAAGCTTTGTATTTTTCAACCTACATCAACCCAAAAAAAATCCTTTTACTGCTAAGAAAATTTCAAATAAAAAAATCCAAAAAATAAATTGAACTTGAAGTTTATAAATGACAACCAAAACAAAGCATAGAGCAGGTTACGAGTCCAATAATTAAATCAAAATTAAAACTAGACAAAAGTTAGACACTGCATTGAAATTTTCCATAAGAAAATAAATAATCCTAGTAACTAAAAATCGAATTATAAGAAACAAAATTTTCTCTCACTTTCCCAAACTTTCTCATCTGCCAAACAATAATTTCGCAGACTTACAAGTTCTTGAGGAGTGAAAATCCACCTGGCTCGGTGAGTTGAGGTCTGAAAATCGGACATCGCTGCACTCGCAACCCTAACGCAGTTGAGTTGATTCGAGCTTGTAATCTGAGTTGCAGAAAATTTTTCGATATTTCAATTTATTTGAATTTTATATTTAATTTTTTGGTTTTGTTTTGTAAATAAAATATGGGCCTAAATGAATGTGCGAATTTGGAAGCCCAATACTAACAGGCCCGGAACGGTCCATTTCAAAACCAAAGGGTCCACTTATAGTCTAGGGGTGTGAAAAAAAACCGCACCCGAAAGCCCAAACCGAACTGAGCGATACGGTTTTGGTTAACTCTTCGATCGAAAAAATCCGAACCTTATTATATTTTTATTATACAATATGATAATAGCATGTTAAATAAATTTATCACGAATAAGCCTATGTAATTTTTGAAGAGAATAGCGTATATCATTGGATTTATATTCAGAATTCGAAAAATTTGCAATTATAAAAATTAATTATATTGAAAAATAAAATAATTAAATGATTTGTATTATAAGTATGACGAAGAATAATATTAGTAATTTTATATAAACTTAACTCGATTAACCTGAACAAGACCAACCGATTTAAATTGATTTGAACCATCCATAGGCAGCTTAGATGGTTAGAGTAAATTGAGGATAGTGTAGATAAGTACAAGATCTTAGGTTCTATTCACTATCTAAGTATCCCCAATTTAAGAGGGGGTCGTGGCTAGGGGTGTATACGAATCGAGCCGAGTCGAGTGATGGCTGGCTCGAGCTCAGCTGGAATTAGTTAAGTAGTTGCTCGAGCTCGAGCTCGGCTCGATAAGGAAAAAGCTTAGCTCAAGCTTGGCTCGGCCCGACTCGATTTAAGTACGAGTTGAGCCGAGCCAAGCTTGGTTAAACCTGCAAAAACCAATGTAAACTGTTTTTGTCTTTTATTATTCTCTCAGGCAAAAACTCAAACACTTAGGGTGCAAACCTTCATCCAAAAAATAAGCTCTAAAATCATTCAAAGCAATCCAAAAACCAAGCTGTAAAATCAACTTCCACAAAATCCTTTACAAACAGCCCACACCTAGAGCACAAAAGGCGAAACTCTATACAAAAACCCCTAAACACCAACAAACAGAAAAACAAAACTAGCCTAAAAAACAAGCACAACAAGGAAACAAAACCCACCGAAACCCCCAGGCTCCTAAGAGGTTGACATCAACTCCACACAAAACCCACCAACACCGCCGAAACCACCCAGCCTATTGTCCCTCTCCAACCACCTACACACAAAACATAGCAACAAGCAAACAAAGAAGAAGCCATTTGGTGGTTGCTTAATGAAGGGTGGCGTCTCAGACTTTGCGGTGTGAAGAAGTGAAGATGACGGTGGTGAAGGTAGAGGTGGAGGTGAAATAAGCTTGAAGGGAAAATGTCTTTGTTTTAGGGATTTTGCAGTCGAGTGTCTTTGTTTTAGATTTTAGGGCAAATCTGATCTTACGCAAGCTGAAACGATCAATTGAGCTCACGAGAGTCGCCGACTCGAATGACAACGCGAGCAATTTGAAGATCGCGAGCCTAGTTAGTAAAAACGCGTATTATACACGAATTGTACGGACAGCCGTATAATTCGAGTATAAAACGCACGTATACATATTTTGTAAAATCTGCCATATAATAAGGTTTCCCGTATAATTCGCGAATTTTTGAAAAAAAAAAAAAAAACAAAATCTCACACCCCCAAAATGATGTTGTTTTGGTGGGTTTTTACAAAAAATAAAAACAAATCTCGTTCAATCGTTCTTCTTCAGTTCTTCGGCAGTCAACAGTTCTTCTTCCTCAGCTCAGGCTCAGTGCTGGTGGGAGAATCCAATTGAAGAGCTTATTCAGATGAGGAAGGCTTCTCAGGCTCAGTGCTGGTGGGAGAATCCGATTGAAGACCTTAGTTTGCCACAGCTTGAGCAGTTAAAAGCGGCGCTAGAGGAGCTGAAGAAGAATACGACAAAGCAAGCTGAGAAGATTATGATCCAGAATTCTGGTCTTCCACAGTTTCTTGGAGCGAGTTCATAAAGTGGTGGAGGGATTAATCTTCCATTTGATCTTCAGTCTACTGGCTTCAATCCGAATATGATGCCTCCTCATGGGTATAATCATCCTGGATTCAGACATATTTTACTGAAATCCTTGATGGTTTAGAATGTTGAAAAGTGTGTCTGCCAGAACACAGTTTGTTTACTTTATTCATGCCTCCAGGTGTTTGAGTCTTTAATTTTATTTATCATAATGTGTCTGTCATTTGGTTTGAAACATGTTTGGTTTCTTTTAATATTTTATTTATTTGCAGCATTGTATGCCATGAGGTTAGTCTCATGGTTATCTTTAAGTATGGTATGAATAAAAGGCATCTTATCTATCTTATAGTTTGCTTCATATAATATATATTATATATATATATAATATATATATATATATATATATATATAATATATATAATATATATAAGGTAAAAATTTAACAGCCACTTACCAATTAATCAGTAAAAATCGATCTCTTTTTGAGTTGTTATGACTTATTGTTGTTTTGTACTTTGGGGTTTTTGTTACAAACTATAATTTGAATCTTTGTTGTATTATTTGTGTTTTTATTTGTTTGGAGCTCTTATTCGACTTTGAATTTTGATTTTGTTATGACTTATGTGTTTAATTTGACACTATGCTGAATCTTAGCTAAATATTGTGTTTGAGTCTAGAGACTATAATTTGAATATCAGTTATATATTGTGTATTTGTGTTATTGATTATTGAATACTTTGCTTTTACCCAGGTAGTCCATAAAAGTGTTAAAACTAAGATTGAATTGTCGTATTTTCAAAATGTATTATTGACAATACACCGTATTAAACCCATATATACCCTACCGTATTTTTTCCGTATCCGAATTTTATGGTCGAATTTTTATAAACGTATTTTTCATCATTTGCGGTATATACCCGTATAATTCCCACCTTTTTTTTGCCTACTCGTATTTACTAACTAGGATCGCGGTAGTTCGAATTGAGCCCAAAAAAGCTCGACACATTTCGCGAGCTTAAGGTGAGCTCGAACTCGTGAACTACTCGTCTTTTGATGAGCCGAGCTTGAGTTCGTGACGAGTCAAGCCCGAGTAGCTCACGAGCTACTCGGTTCGACTGCACCCCTAGTTGTGGCGATGTGTTGCTGCATTAGTCTCCTCTAAGAATTAGTCAAAGTACGTGTACGTTGGTTTAAACACCTTGGTTTGGGTTTCTAATAAGGTGAGATGGTCAGGCTTTTTTTTTTTTTCTCAAAAATATTTTGGAGTGAAGACTAAAAACGCTACAGCTTTACAGTTAATGAAACCAGAGTTTTGGCCTGATCTGTGTGCATCCTATCCATCCATCTGCAGAAATCACACGGCTAGGCATTTCATAAGTTAACAGTATAAAAGAGGAATTGCTCACTGTACATAGAATCGGAATTTTTTTGCGTTTTTCTGCAGTTTGCGTTATCAGTTTCTCTTGGTTTTTTCTGCTTTTTAGAATCATTGTAACTAGGTAGATTGATTATAATGATAGTTAATCTGAGGGTAGTTTTACTCTTGTGGCTTGAGGATCCAGTGAGAGTTCTTGGGTGAGTTACGGGTTGATTCTGGGTAGAAATTGAAGATTGATCTGGTTGTGTTGGATCTTATACTGTATTGATATTATTCAGATTAGTGTGCTGTGAGCTCTCCATTTCCGGAGCTCAACGTGGACTAGATTATCCAAATAGGATAATCGAACCACGGTAAAATCTTGTGTTTCTTGTGTGGATGTTTTGTGTATCTGTGTGGAGTTGAAATCTGTTTATGTTTGTGTTTGTTGGCTCAGTATAACAGTGGTATCAGAGCTATTAGAAAATAGGCTTGATCATTTGAGACTTTTCGTTGATTTAGGGTTTCTGAAAAATTAGGTTTGTCTAAAATTTGGGGGTTTTTCAAATTAAGGCTTCCCTTAGCAATCTTGAGTCCTAGTTTACAGATTCGGTGGTAAATTCACTGATTGAGGAAATCTTGGTGAAGATTCAGGTCTGAGTCTTAGTAATTCGTTCAAGATTTACATTGTCATTCGATCTTGGGTTTCTTGAGTCAGTATCAAATTGTTCAACACAAAGAGTCAACTACACGATTAGAAATCACTCAGTATGATGGCAAGATAGATTTTGGGAGCTGGAAAAGAAAATGAAGGCCTGCTGTCCCACAACAAGGTGGGAATTGCCCTGGAGAAAGACGAAACCAAATGGCTAGAAGAGAAGCGAAGAAGAAGGATGAATCAATGAGGAGCGTACAACCTCATAGTGATGAATCTGTCAGACAACGTCCTGCGGAAGGTAGATGGGCTAGAACACCTCTAGCCCATGGGTAAACTCGAAACTTTGTATTCTTTACAGTCAGCACCTAACCTTGCATTTTAAAGGGTGCTTTATTTTCGTACAAAATGGATGGTTCTAAACTGTTGAGGATAATTTAGATGATTCCTTAAGATGACTTTAATTCTTAAAGGTACTAATCAGGAACTAGGTGACACTAGTTTAGCAATGATCCTATTAAATTCCTTAACTGAAGACTACATAGTTGTAAAGAATGCCCTTCAGTATTCAGGAACGTACCTAGTCTGGATTTAATAGTTGCTGGTCTTAAAGCTAGGGAATAGAGCTTAAGGTTCAGAAAAGATCTAAGAGTAACCTGTTTGTAAAGGTAGGCAGAATCTAGTCAAACAGGAAAGTCTATTCAGAACCAACATGGGTCAAAACAAGAAAAATGGAAGGGAAACAGTAATAAAAGATCAGACACTAGGAAGTTCTCTTTGCAATAAACCTGGTCATATCAAAAAAACTGTTTGAATGGTTGAGAAAAATAAACAGAGTAATACTGAGAGTAATCTTGCTTCTAGTGATAACCAATGGGGGGAGCCTGAGGTCTGACAGTATCAACATCTGATACTGCTAAGGAATGGGTCCTAGACTCAGGTTGTTCCTTCCATATGATCCACACAAAAACTGGTTCCGAACAATAGATCTCAGAACTGAAACTGTTTATATGGGGAATAACCAAGCATGTAGGTGA